CATAAAACAATATGTGTACTGTTTAATGAGAAACTATTTGTTCTGTAAACCTTCATCTAAAGTACAGTTTTAAAAAAAAGATTTACAGCCTCAGAAACCCTACAGGGCAGTTCTTCTCTGTCCTATAGGGTCGCCATGAGTCGGAATCGACTCTTCAGAAAAGGGTTTGGTTTTTTGTTTGCCACAATACATTCTCATTCTATTACTGGTCAACTCCCCTAGATCCTTTTATTTCCTACGTTTTTTTACCCTCCCTCAACTGTTTCTTTTCCCTTTCCCCTCTTTGCAATACTTGTCAATCCCTTTTTCTATTTTTTTATAGTAGGCAACAAATTATGTCTTGAGTGTCTTCCCTTTCTCATCCCCCTAACTCAAAGAATCTTTTATTCCCACGATTTGACATTATTTAACTGCATCATCTGACCTATAATAAAATCTGCGCATGGCTGAACCATGCATTTAAGGGTACCTCTAGCTTTTGTAACTATTGAATATACCATGGACAGTCAAAAGAACGAACAAATCTATCTGGGAAGAAGTGCAACCAGAATGTTCCTTAGAAGCAAAGATGGCGAGACTACGTCTCACATACTTCGGACGTTTGTCAAGAGGGATCAGTCCCTGGAGAAGGACATCATGCTTAGTAGAGGGCCAGTGAAAAAGAAGATCCTCAATGAGATGGACTGACAGGGTGGCTGCAACAATGGGCTCAAGCATAACAATGATTGTGAGGATGGTGCGGGACTGGGCAGTGTTTCATTCTGTGGTACATAGGTTGCTGAGTTGGAACCGACTCATCGGCACCTAACAACTAGCTTTTGTAACATCACGTCTTTCTACTTATTTCCAGAATAGTCTCACTGTTTTCTAAGTTGCCAAAAGGTGCAGAGTTGCAAGATATGCTCATCAGGTCATATACATAAAAAAGCTTTTCTCCAAATTAGGAAACACCAAAAGCAGAAGGGGCCTGTATAAAAAGCTAGTTCTGCTGTTTTTCTGAAACCATTTTTAAAAATCTCACCTTTCCCCCAACTTTCAACAAAAGCTCCACATCCCAGCGATGTCTTGTTTATTATGAAGGAAGAAAAAAAAAATCGCTAAGTCCAGTCTTCAGGTTGAAGGGATTAGTTTTTAATAGGGTTTCAAACCCATTTGTACCCCTGCTAAGAATTTGCATTTCTAACAAGTTCCCAGGAAGTTATACATAAGAAATCACCTGAGGACCTTGTTAAAATGTGGATTCTGATTCAATATATCCGGGGTGGACGAACAAAACTCCTCCCAGAATCAGTCAAGTGTTTTGAGAGAACATCTCCACCCTCTCCATCATTATTTCCCCTGTTCTCACCCCCAGGAGACTTAACTGTTTAAATCTACTTTAAAAAAAAAAAAAAAAGTCCATTTCTACAAATTATGCCCTTCCTTAAATTAGGAATGAATATGAAAATATTTTTCCTTTGAAAATCACTGAAAAACTTTAAAAAAATCAAAGACCCAAAATTATAACACACTTTAACACAAACTTAGCAAATTTGCTGGCCCAAAAGCAAAGGAGTTCACAGGTCCATCCTGCCCGCTGACGGTGACAACCCAAAGTATGTGGAAAGAACCGGCCACACACACTGACGCACCTTTGGCAGGTGGGTCCTTCTCAAATACAGCCACTAAACGCTCTTCTAACCCAAAGATCCTAGGCTCTATCTACAGTAACCACACTTCATAACAAGATGGCTCGCTCCCATCAATACACACACTTTATTTTAAATTATGCCACTAGCACATTGGGATAAAAAGTAATTTATTTGCATTGCTTCAATTTTTCTACTGTAGTGTTAGGACTTAACATAAGCATCACTCATCTACTTCTATTTGCAGTTCATTCAGAGCATTTCTACAAATACAATATACAATTTTTAGAAACTTATGGAGAAATGCAGTTTATGTTTTTCTCTCCTTTATACAGGTTTCTCAAAATCATTCAACTTAAACGAAAATTTACATGGACATTTTCTGTACATATCTGAAAGGGCAGATAATACACTAATAAAGCTAAAAGAATTTTGCACAAATACAATAAAATACAGAAAACAGAAAGTAAAGATGATGTTATTTGGGGTACAAATATAAACAATACAGTACCATTTGAGTAATTTAGCAACATAATACCCATATTTTATAGAAATAGAACTGAAAACCTGGAGAACGCTTTGACAAATATTAAACATTATATACACAATGAGGTAAATGTACCTTGGTCTCTTGAGAGGTAATTTAAGTTTAAAGCAATTGACATTTTGAAGCATCTCCTTGACATATAAAGAAACATCAAACACCTCTATAACCACTCCATTGGCACAATGTGAAAAAGGGATATCAAAACACGGTTCATGATATTCAATTCACAAATCATGTTAAAAAATAAAAACAAATTCACTGTCAAGCTTTAAGAAACAGGTTGAATGTTATTAACCACATTTTTAAAAGTTTACAAGTAAGACTGCATAACGGGACTGAAAAGTTTAAATGTACTGACAATCCTCAGGATGTCCCAGAAGTCCAGCATTCTTAGAGAGAGGGCCCATGGGTATTCCAGTATTCCAAAACAGACACAAGAAGCTTCAATACATTTTAGAGCTATTCTTTTAAGATCTCAAAATGTTTGAATTAACCTTTTCTGCCGAGTTGTAATAGAACCATTATTTGGAATCTCCACCATTCGGAGTCAGAACACGGCCATGGTCAAGAAACAAAAGTAACAGTTGACTTACAATCACCCTTTCAGTGCAAGGATGAAAATAAACTCTTGATATGACACATCTAATGGGATACAGATTTTGTTGTGCATTTGTATTAAAACTCTGTCACCCTGCTTTACAAAAATGTTTATGTCTGACAGTTCTCAGGCATAGAGAAAACAAAGGTAATTCATGTGTGGGCTGCAAAATGGCCAAGTGACCCACATAAACTTCATAATAAGAACTGAAATCTGAAATTCTTAATGGCCATGGCGTTGTACACTGACTCAAGGCACTTCTTGAGCACTATCATTAAAGCAGAATCACAGGCTCAGCTCTTCAGGCCTTACCCTGTGCTATACAGAATACAAGTGGCCACTGTATCTGTGCAACCTCCATTGCCGTAGCTGCCACTCCACTCCTCATACACGGGTAGAGTCAAAGCAGGGCAGCCAGCAGGGGCATCCCAAGCCTCATCCACTCCAAACATGCCTCCTGACAGCATCTAGGAATTCCATGAACTATTTTATTCTAGGTCTCAAAAGCAGCTCTTTAGTCAAAAGGCTGTGGGGAAGGCAGGGGAGAGGGTTTGTGATGGGATGGGAGGGTGGCAAAGCGATGGTCTCTGAGTCAGGGATTGGCAGGAGGGTAGGTTGGGGAAAACAGGCTACATATAAAAAAAGGATCAGAAATGTCTAGGCCCCACTTAGTCGTACATCCCCCATCCCCATTCCCCTGGGGTATTGACAAAATGGATGTGAACAGGTAATTTGCCAGAAGATATGTTTCAGTCAAATTGAATCTTGGAGGGTAAGCATCTTAGGAGAGGCAGTATAAACAAAGGCTTATGTTTCTAAATGACAAAATTAATATTCTAGTCAAATTTATCTACAGTTATGGCCACAGTAATCATGATCTGTCTCTTGTAAGTCACTTTCACTTTCAGTATTAGCTAACTGGGGCCCACTGCTAGCCAAAAAAGGAATTAGCTGCAGTAATATGTAAACCCAATTGAGAACTAAATTCCAGCTTTTAAAAAATTCCCTGATTCATCAAAAGTACATTTTATCCATCTAGGCAAGAACAGTATAGTTGTAACTCAGTCTTGGATTTAATAACGAATACCTTCGGCACAAGTTGATTACCTAATATGAAAGTGAGAAATCATGTATCACGATTTTAAATCAGATGCGAACTTTTGGTATGTTCTTAAAATTATATAAAAATAGTTTTAGTGATAAAATGCATTGGTCCCCTGGATTTCATAAAGCAGATATGGTAGGCTTAGAAATCTCCAAAAAAAAAAGTACCTGATCACAGAGCTAGAGATTATTAAACAGCAAATATAACACAATTACAAAAACAAACCTCCAAAATCATTCATTTGCTTCAATTAAATCATGGTAACTATAGAAAAAAACCTCAAATTTGTAGTCAAAATATTAAATAACCTCTAAGCACATTTTCCCCATTTTTTTAAACACATGAAATTGACACGAAATTCTTACGTAATGTCATTTATTCTAAGATTACTTTGGTTTTAAGATCAAATAAGTCTTTCAAATTCATTCTTACCATGTGTAAGAGATAAGACATTATCAGAATGCAACTCAGTCAACTCAGGCCACTATTTCTTACTGACCAAAACACTATATAAGGGTTATTCTGAGCCTTTTATCAGGAAATTGATAGCACTATAAAATCAAAGTCTTGCCTCACAGCTATGATAGTTTTATTTTCCCCCAGAAGAAGATCACAGTGATAAAAAGGACTCTGAAAATTGTGAAAACCCTACAAAGACTTTATAGCACTGGACGTAAAAACCAGTTATTATAAGCTGGGTTCAACTTAATGTGAGAAGACTACAAGTTTGCTTTAAACATTCGACTGAAAACATCTTTAAATGGAAAACATATATTCAGAATATTCTTTAGCTACCACCTCTGCCAAATATTGAGGGTGCAATGAACTCATTATGTAACAATGCAAATTAAGTAGTTGCAATATCTGCACACTGAAGAAAGACTGAATTAAAAGCTGCCTTTCTCAAAGTGTAGTGAGACCTCAAAACCACACCACCTCCAACCTTAGTTACAAAGACAGAATCCACCAAACATTTACTCCTACAGAACAATGTGACTCTTGCACACCTGTTATCTAGTAAATTATTACTTTTACCTTCTTAGAAAGAGGTCTATTATTTAACATTAACCATATTCTAAGTGTAATTCATTTTTTAAAAAAATAACACTGTCTTTGATCAGATAAAGAAAAAAATGGCTTACAGAATGCCATACAACTTTTCACAAGTAGCTAGACAAACTTTTCCTTTTAGAAAAATTAGTCTGTATGCTACAAATGTTAAATTATTAAAGTATTGTAAGTATTTAGACAGTGCCACTGATTTTTTTAAAAAAAGTATTCTTAAGATAGCGCAATTAAAATGGAAAAGCTTGATGTGAGAATGTTCAAACGTGACCATAACAACATATTAATTAATCCACTTCATTTCTTCAGTGGTTTAAGCACATTTTGGTAGGAAAAAGGCATTTTAAAAATGGAATACCAAATGACACACCACAAAAACCCTTCCAAAAAACAAAAGAGAAAAAGCCTGGATTACCCAGTTAAATAAACTTTTTGAATTCAGACACTTGGGTTTTAAACCACACAGGCTTTAAGCAATTCTACTGATTTCCATGAGAAGAACACAGAAGTGGCACTTACTGGTATAGTACAATCCCATTTTGAAGGCATGTAATGTTCTCAATATGTGAAAGAACAATAATAGTATACAAAATATGATTGCATAAATTATGTTCCTCACTGCTGTATGAGGTCATTTTAGACTCAAGATAAGAGTTTTATGTGTTAGTTTTAAGATCCTGAAAATTATAGAACAGTACATTCAAAGTCTGATTCAAGGAAACTCTTCAGTGGTTCAGCATCCTGAGAATGTACTAACCAGGAGTAAATCACTTTCCTTAAAAATAAGAAATATTTTATATAACTCAGCAATCCAGCTCCTTTACCATTAAAAATGATCTTCGGTACAAAGGAGTTACTAAAGTTAAGACCAGCAATCATCTTTAAAAAAAACAAGTTTTGTGTTAATAAAAAATAAAGGTAGACTACACAACATATTGTAACTGTCCTGGGAAAGAAGCGTTCATAGTGCACAGATAGGACCCACATGGCTATTTCCTGGATCCAAAGAAATTCTGGGAGGTTTCTTAATTGGCCTTATTACACTGTTGCAAACGGAAGCAATATCCTTCTGTTCCCTCTCCGTGAGGTATAACAATTGACCTCCCAAATGAAAACCCAGGAGCAGATCTGAAGAAAAAGTAGAGTTCAGGCAAAGCTGCAGAATTACATTTTGATGCCTTCCTGTTGACTGAGTTGTGATAATGTTTTCTTAATCCGCAAAGCTGTAAGTCTAGCTGCTCCGTTGGCATACCAACATTCTCTCATAATTTTAGCCATTACTCTCAAGGCCTATAACAAAATAAAAGAAAAATAATTAATGCATGTACCACTTTCCATTCATCTGGATAAGAACCGTTACCTGCACATTTTCTTTTTCTAATAAAGTATGTACAAGGTTTTTTGTTTCAGCATTATTTGCAACAGCAAATGAGCAGAAATGACCGAGATTTCCATCAACAGAGTACGGTGCCAGCAGCTGGAAAGCAGATGGCCAGAGATAACTTACTTAGCAGACCTAAAAAAGCTAAATCCTAAACCAGCACTGGGCAAGGCAAAGAAGGAATCTGAAACTCCCTCCAAACCAAGGAATTAGCTGCATCAAGTACCTCTGGTTGTGGGGATGAAGCTCAGGCTAAAAATAGAAGGATTAGCTTAAAGTATGCTTATACAGTAGCTGGAATCCTAGCTACCTGCCCCTCCTCAACTTCACATAGCTCCCTACCTCCATCCAGCAGAAGGCTACAGTTTTTTCTCTCAGAGAGGGTAAAACAGAGATTTCTGGCCTGGGGAATATGAAGGTAGAAGTTCTGTGCTAAAAACACACTAAACGCTTTCTCTCCAAACATCAGCAGCAACTTGGACATACTCTCCCAGACAGGAGACTGGAAGCAGCTTCTCTGGGGAATTTGACCAGCCCAAGAGGAAAGACCTGAAGAGTGTGACATCAGTGGTTCCTTAAGGAAGCAGCTCAGATTATCCTAAAGATCACAGTCGATAAGCTCCATTCACAAAGCTTCCTATCAGCTTTCAGTGCCCTTCTTTTTTTTTAAGTATGAAGAGAATGAGGTTGATCAGACATTTGAGGACAGTAATGTGAAATGCAGAAACTGAAACAAACACGAAAAAACAACTTGGAGACAACAGAAGCTTACAGAGAAAAGAAAATGTCAAAACTCTATCACTAATATCCTCAAAGAGAGGAAAGATACTAACACTGCCTCTATCATTTAAAACTCTACATTTTCCCATTTTCTTTTCTCCAAGAACTTTTTCCCCAAAGTTGCTTTTTTCCCCCGATGTATATTTCAGTCTCTGTATTTCCTATTAGATGTCTAATAATGAACAGGAGGCTACAAACAAAGGGCATTCAAAGAACAAAGGGGTAATCCTGGAAATTAAAAGTATGATAGCTCTTAGTCCAGTAATGAAGTCACTCCAGAGGTTCACCTTTTAGCCAAAGATAAGACAGACTCACAGGACAAAACGAGACTAAATGGGCACACTAAGCCCAGGGGCAAGGACTAGAAGGCAGGAGGGGACAGGAAATCTGGTAATGGGGAACCCAAGGTCGAGAAGGGAGAGTACTAACATGTAATCGGGTTGTTAACCAATGCCATAAAACAACATATGTACTGTTTAATGAGAAGCTAGTTTGTTCTGTAAACCTTCATCTAAAGTTCAAAAAAAAAAAAAATCAAAAAAATATGATAGCTCACATAGAAAACTGCATAGAACTAGAAGACAAAGTTGAAAAACTTCCCAGAAAGTTGTGAAAAAAGATGAAGAAATAAAAAATAGGAGAGAAAAGATAAGAAAATTATAGGATCTGTTCAGGAGCTCTAACATTCAAATATCTGGAGTTAAACGGAATAAAGAAGTGGCAGGGAAGAAACCAAAGAAATACTTCAGAAACATTTCCTAGAAATGAAAGTTCATTTCCAGATCAAAAGAACCAAGTGCCCAGCACATACATTCACTCAACAAATAGTTATTCTGTCCCTACCATGTACCAGATACTGCTCTAGCTAGGTGTTAGGGGTATAGCAGTGAGCAAAACAGACAAAAATCCCTGCCCTCATAAAGCTTACTTTCCGTTGGGGTAAGACAGATAATAAATAAGCAGTAAAACACATGGATTGTCAGATAGTTGTAAATGCTAGGGAAGGAGATAAAGTATGCTAGGGAAGGACAGCGCTATTTTAAATAGGTAGAAAGGGAGTAATTCACTGACAAGGGAACATTTGAGCAGAGACCTGAAATAGGTTAGCAAATGAGTAAACCAAGAAACAGGAAGCTACAGAATTCAGGAAGGGAGATTCAACACAAAAGAGAGGCAATGGGAATCTCAGGATGTAAGTTGAGAAATGTCCCCAAATGACAATGGTACAGTGGGCCGACAGGGCAACCAGTCCAGACTGAACAGGTCTGAAGGCTCTGGAAGAGACCGTTTTAGGTATTCTATCAGTTTCATATTCTTGATGTGTTTCAACTATCGAGAGATTTATACAACCAAAGAAAAGTGAATTAGTGATAAATACATAGAAAACTAAGCAAATTGAGAACAAAAATGACAGTGATGACATTAATTCAGCAAGACATGATAGTACCTGCAAACTGCATGTGTGCTATTAATGTTCACTGTTAACTTCTTTAGTTCTTAAAAGTCATCTGTTTAATAAAAACCTGCTCTAATTACTGAAAGAGTGTATGGATACTTCAAGTCTGTACTCTGCAGTATCCAGATCAAATTTTAAAAAGACAAAATCTGGTCCCACCCTCATTTGTTAAACTATGTCATATGCAAATTCTTTGAGCGTGCTGATATGCATCTTACCTGGGTCTGGATATATGGTTTTGTTTGAAGTAGCTAGGAGCTCTCTGAGGAGTTCTACATTAAGATGTAAAATCAACTAGTGAAGTGACCAGTTTTCCATTCCTCCCTAACCTGCAAAACTTCAAAGCTGTAAGGAAATGCCTCACCTCACCAATATTATAATGGTAACAGCTAGCAATTAAGGACAAGTTAAATAAATTTTTTCTAATGAATTCTTTAAATTTAGAACCAAGTAAACATTTCTAAGAACTTTGTCAGAGGTGAAGTTAACAGAGCAGCTTGGATGCTGCTGGGAAGTATTCTTCTAAAAATTCCCGGTAAGTTGTCATATGGGCAATCAGATCAATAAAATGCAAAATCATCTGAACCACCTTCACAACCATCTAAGTCCGTCATTTTACAAAGGGGGATGTTAAGGAACTAGAGAACGGAAGTGATCTGCCTAGAGTGAGAGACTAAATGGCAGCCATGCTGGCCTACAATGCAAGTCTCCTAATTCCTGTCCAGTGCTTATCTCACTATTCTGGGTCACCCTGGCTGGAGAGTGGGCATTCATTTTAAAAGCAGGTACCATGGCTCTGTTGGCAGATCTAAACACTGTTCTGATAGATTAACAACAATGTTCCGTGGCCTTTGCAATGTGCTTAAAATTGGTCAATATGAAAACGAGATTATTCTGTTTTTATTCACTGGCTTAACTGCCATGAGAAAGGAAGAAAGGGGAATTCTTGTGGCTGTTTTCCTTAAAGAAAAGTCATGATGTTTCCGTTTACTAAGCAGAAGCAGTTTAGAAAATTGTGTAATATCCAAAAGAAACTCACTTCACAGCTTTGCCATCTGTTTGGAATATTTGGCCTTAACTTCTGTTCACAAACAACTTTTCTCATTTCTTCAACTGATGGATCAGAAGGTACAAGATCATAATAAGGCAGCTGGTAATCTTCATGAATTCCTGTAACAGGTTAAAAAAAAAAAAATTAAGTTCTATTTTGAAAAATGCATTCAGATAAAGCCAAGCCATTCTCTGACCAGATGGAGAAGAGCACTTTCTGAGAGTCCTATTTCAGTGCCCCATTGCTAAGTTAGGTAAGCAAAACAGGGCTTACACCTTCTTCCACCTCATCAATAACTGCACCAACAATCCACCTTCCTGAGTGGGCACTGGGTCCACACCTTGAAATTATCTGTTGCCAGGGGGTCAGCAAAGACTATTTTGACGATGATTAACTATGAGCTGTGATGACAAGACTGACGTTTCCTCCTAGAACTTCACTGCACAGCAATTGAGAGATTTTATTCTGTGGTGAGAGCTTCTCACTCGGTGAGGGGGTACACTCTATCACTGAAATGGGAATTCTACAAGGCAAATCTGAGGTACAAATTCCTTTGTCTACTTGCACCTGTCAATAACAGGTCATATTTGCTACAAAGCAGAGATATACACTGCCTCTCACTGCCTCAAAAACCTGAGGTCCCAGGTCTCTCTGCCAAGCATGGACACCCAAGCCTAAAAGACTCTCGAGTAACATCTGAAAGTGTTCGGTCTAAAACTAAACCTAAAAGTTAAAACAAATTTATTTTTAAAAGTTAGATGTAATGGCTACTATCAAGATAAAAAAGAACACCTCCCACAAAAACAAGAAACAGGAACTCGCTTAAAATGATTTATGTGACACCTACCAATCACTACAAGTAAAAGTTAGAGAAGCAGACAAGATGCCCATCTCTGAGACCATGTACCATTGGGTACAAATCAAAGACAATCTCTTGAGAAATTAACAAGAGTCCCTGATATAAGAACATCAAGTTGTAGCAAAGAGTCCCACTCTCAAGGGAAAAATGTCAGTTTGACCCAGATAAACGCTATAAACAGTTTCCTAGGTAGCCCATCAAACAGTAGTTCACTCTAAATAACTATATTCCAAGATAAAAGAGGCTGGGATCAGATGCTTCCCAAGATTCAAGTGGAAAGAGAAAAAGAAGACACTAGGATAAAGCTGTGCATTTGCATGTCATGTCATTTTCCCTCACTACAGTTTTATCTCCTTTATTTTTTCTGGTGATCTCAGTGATCACCTGTAGAACATAACCTCAGACTGCTGACTATGTGTAATTTCATTCAATAAAAAAGAAGGCAATTCTTGAACAACTTCTTTTTGAGACAAATTGTTGGAGAGGGGGAAGCAATTTACCACCAATGGAACATCGTCGAGCAATTTCCCAAAATACTAGGCCCATTGCATAGATGTCAGCACGCTTGAAGGATTCAAAGTGTTTCATATTTATGGAATCATCTAGAACTTCAGGGGCCATGTACCTAAAAAAGGAGTCAACACTTTATTTCATGGAATGGAGGACAATTATTTTTGAACTGTTTCATAATTTTTTCTCCTGAGAATCAAAAAAATCAAAATTAACTAATTTTAAGATTTTTCCCTTTGAGCATGGTTCTAGTGTTATTAAAATATGATTCTTGCTTATTATAAAAAATGTTCTAAAATACAAAGAAGTGAAAAAAATCATCCCATTACAACCACATTGTTAACATTTTGATGAACATCATTTCAGACATCTCTCTCTCTATATAGATACATGCATACAATATTACATAACTGAGATTACATTAGACTCAAGAAAAATATTAAATATTTACACTGGTTTGAAAATTAATTATGTCAACTAAATCCCATGAAAAGCTAAAACAATGATCTGTAGCTTCCAATAAAAGACACACACACAGACACTTGCGGCTATTACAAATGTCTTAACATACACCACCTGCATTGTCATGTATGATGCTTTGTCATGTATGATGCAGGGATTATATATTTTAATTTAGAAGTCTTCTCACTACAAGATGAAAGAAAGGACAGGGACATACTCCAGGGAAACAATACTAGGTAAAAATGAATGTCAGTCCTCATACTGATGCCACATTGTTGGGTTTCTGTAGCTAATGTTTGCAAACCTCATTAAGCTTCTGAAGTTTCAAAAACCCTCCCTAAGATTATAGGTCAGGACCCACAAAGACCTGCAGCAACCACTGTCCTGGACCCATGAGCTAGTCAATAGTTCTGAGAGACCCAGTTGAATCCAGAAATCATGAATTCAGTATGAATAGCCTTAACCAAGGCCCAAGCAGTAGTTTTGAAGAAACGCTGAGGCAGCACGCTGTTATGCACACAGCAAGAGCTTTTACACTGGAAAGGCCAGGTTCAAATCTTAGCTCGTCAGCTTTCCATCCATGTGAAATTGGCCCCATTATTTAACTTCCATGAAGCAGTTTCATCATCTGTGCGTTAGTGGCAATGAAACCTACCTAGTTAGGTTCTTTTGAGGATTCATGGATTCGACAAATATTTACTGAGGACCTACCATGTAATAGGCACTGTAATGAAAGGAAGGGTGAGTACAAATTAGGGAAACAACAGGGGAAAATATGCTCTAGGGTACAGCACATGCAAAAGACTCTAAGAAAGAGAGAATGGCATGTTTTTGAGAATTGAAAATAGTTGGGCTAACTACAACACAGCATTTGAGGAGGGAATTAAATGAGATAACATACGTAAAAGACCTATTAAAATCCTTGGTGCACAGTAGGTACACTGTACACATTAAATTCCATTGCTATTATAATTAATATAACTAACAATATTTTCTGGAAGGGACACCTTTCATCAGCAGGCATCTGTAAGTCAAGTAACTGGTTTCAGAGCAGGCAAGAACATTAGATCTTCTACCTGTGGGCAATCTAATAAGGTACACATTTGAGTCTCAGAAGATATATGCATATACAAATGAGAAGGAGAAAGAAAAGACACTGATTTCAGAAGGTACTCAAAACAATTAACAAGTCTACCTTTTTGTTCCCACTCTGTGGTTTGGAGCAATATCGATTGTATCAGTGGCTGAATCATGTCTTACTGCCAGTCCCAAGTCTGCAATACAGCAAGTTCCATTCTTCTTTACCAAGATATTCTTTGATTTCAAATCTCTATGAGCAATGGCTGGTTTTCCTAAAGAACCAAAAATTAAACATGATTGGTTAAAAGGTAATACCAAGCACAACTCTCACCTTCAAGTTCAAAAGCATCTCTTCCCATCTGTCTTAGTCATCTAGTGCTGCTCTAACAGAAAAACCACGAGAGGATGGCTTTAACAAGGAGAAGTTTATTCTCTCACAGTCCAGTAGGCTACAAGTCCGAATTCAGGGCATCAGCTCCAGAAGGCTTTCTCTCTGTCAGCTCTGGAGGAAGGTCCTTGTGAGGCATCAGTCTTTCCTTGGTCTGGGAGCTTCTTTGTGCAGGAACCTCAGGTCCAAAGGACAAGCCCTGCTCCCAGCACTGCTTTCTTGGTGGTATGAGGTTCCCATATGTCTCTGCTCGCTTCTCTCTTTTATATCTCAAAAGAGATTGGATTAAGGCACTATCTAATCTTGTAAACCTCATCAGTATAACCTCATCACAGTGATAGAGTTTACAACACATAAGGAAATCACATCAGATTACACAATCATACAGTACTGTGAATCATGAATGTCAGTCCTCATACTGATGCCACATTGTAGGGTTTCTGTAGCTAACGTTTGCCAACGTTTGACGGATATTTTTTGGGGACACAATTCAATCCATGACACCATCCCAGTATCAAAGCATTTCAGCCCACATCACCGGCAACACCTAGGCAATTACCAAACTCAACCTCAAGTGAAACATTATAACCAAAGTCATTAAAATTACATTTCTTTGAAGAAAATGGATATAATAAGATGCTCCAAAAGATAATGTTCAAAAACCTTAAGTCTAAGGAGTCAAAGACTTGGGAACCCTAGTCATAGACTCATGTTTCCAGCCCAGGAACCCAAGTATCTGGATCACTTCCCTTTTCTATCAACTGAATGTGCTCAGTATTAAATGTACTACCTTTAATACTAACCATAAGGAAAAGTACTGTTAAAAAATAATAATTAACAATGTGGAAAAATTAGAACCTTCATACATACATCACTGGTGGGAATGTAAAATGGTGTAGTCACTTTGGAAAAGCCTGGCAATTTCTCAAATGGTTAAACATAGTTATCATGTGATCCAGCAATTCCACTCCTATGTATATACCCAAGAGAATTAGAAAGTATGTTTACACAAAAATCTGTACACCAATGCTCATACAGTATCCAAAATAGCTAAAAAAAAAAAAAAAGGAAACAACCTAAATATCCATCAACGTGTCAACAAAATGTAGTTTATCCATACAATGGAATAGATATCATCCATAAAACGGAATGATGAACTGGAAACACGTTAAGTGAAAGAAGCCAGTCATAAATATTACACATTGTATGATTCCATTTATATGAAATCTCCAGAGCAGGGAGATCTATAGAGACAGGAAATAGATTAGTGGCTGCCTAGGGCAGAGGATTTGGGTGAAAATGGGGAGTGACTGCTAATATGTATGAGATTTCTTTCTGATGTGATGAAAATGTTCTAAAATTGATTGTGGCAATAGTTGTACAACTCTGAATATATTAAAAACCATTGAATTGTATACTTTAAACGAGTGAATTATATGGTATCTGAATTTATCTCAAAAAAGCTGTTATTTAAAAAATAATAATTACAAAGATGAGCCTGGCTAAGATGTGAAATGAAATAGCACATATGTAGTAAAACGGAGAGTCGGGGAGCCATCAGGTAGCAAGTGGATAATCAGAGCAAACTGTGGCATCTGATATCATACATGTCATAAAACCATACCATAAAAATTTCATGACTAAAAGTTATTTAATTTTCAACTGTAAAACTATATCATATAGTCTCCTTATCTCAAACAGAATTATTGATTGATGGCTAGATACCATTTATATAGCAAACTGTCGTTTACAAACCACTTTAACATTGCATTTGATATACTCTCTTCACTTTGAGCTCTAAATAAAACTCAGATCCTCCAAAAATCACAACAACGGATGCTACTTTTAAGAACTCACAAAAATACCACAGTGTTGTTACAATGACTAGAGAATTTGTAAACAGTCCCAGATTCCTAACTTCAGCTGAGATTTTTAACAGAAAGATAAAATGTTCTTGTCTAAAAACTCATTTTAAACCATTTCCAATTAGGCAGACTTCTTACAAAAATTTCCTTTTTCTTTTAAATGAAATCTTAAAATGTTTTTATTAACTCTAAATCATCTTAATTGAGTAACATTTAAAACAATATAGAATCACTGAACTTAAAGCCTGGAAAGAGCCTGACATGTAATTTTCCCCAAAATCCCACTTTACAGACTGAGAATCTGAGAGCCTAGAACATCAATTAACTGACTTGCCCCAAACTAGGTTTATACAGGCACTCCCCTGTTAAAAAGCAATATCCAGGGGCAACCTATTTCTTGAATGATAAGGTCAAGTTTTCCGAGATTGCATTTAACTTCTGACCACCATGAAGACAAACAATCCAAAGTCAAAACCACGGTGAACAGCTCGCCATTTCCCAAACAAGATGGGATCATTCCTTTCTTCGTGTCCCTGCAAATGCACACCTTTACCCTCTACTTAGAATACCTCTCCCATCTTATCACTCTGAAAACTCCTACAGCGGCTCCTTGGAAATCCTATGAGGCAGCTCTACTTTGTCCATATAGGTCGCTATAAGTCAACCGGTTTGGTTTTTTCGTAATGACATTAAGCTTCACCACGTGACTTTGATCAATGGCATCTGAGTGGAGGCTACCTATATCACATTGAGCAGAAGCTTTAAGAACCACTTCTTTTTCTTTCCTTTGCTACAAGAATGGTGTGTCTCAAAAACTTTTTTTTTTTAATTGTGCTTTAAGTTTATACCTCAAGTTAGTTTCTCATACAAAAATTTATACACACATTGTTATGGGACCCTAGTTGCCATCCCTATAATGTGACAGCACACTCCTCCTTTCCACCCTGGATTTCCCACGTCCATTCAACCAGCTCCTGTCCCTTTCTGCCTTCTTATGTCGCCTCTGAAGAGGGAGCTGCCCATTTAGTCTCACGTATCTACTTGAATTAAGAAGCACACTCTTCACAAGTATCATTTTATGTCGTATAGTCCAGCCTAATCTTTTTCTGAAGAGTTGGCTTCGGGAATGGTTTTGTTGTTGTTGTTGTTGTTGCTATCAGGTACAGTGCTGCAATGAACATGAGTATGCATATATCTATTCACGTGACAGCTCATTTCTCTAGGATATAATCCAAGAAGTGGGATTGTTGGATCGTATGGTACTTCTATTTCTAGATTTTAAGGAAGCATCAAATTGATTTCCAAAGTGGTTGTACCATTTTACATTCCTACCAAGTGTATAAGTGTTCCAGTCTCTCCACAACATCTCCAACATTTACTATTTTGTGTTTTTTGGATTAATGCTAGCCTTGTTGGGGTGAGATGGTATCTCATTGTAGTTTTGATTTGCATTTCTCTAATGGCTAATGATCATAAGCATTTCCTCATCTTATATGTTAGATGTCTGAATGTCTTCTTCGGTGAAGTGCCTGTTTAGATCCTTTGCCCATTTTTTAATTGCGTTATTAGTCTTTTTGTTGTTGAGGTTTTGCAGTATCTTGTAGATTTTAGAGCTCAGACCCTGATCAGGTATGTCACAGCCAAAAATTTTTTCCCAGTCTGTACACTGTCTTTTTACTCTTTTGGTGAAGTCTTTTCATGACCCTAAGTGATTGATTTTTAGGAGCTCCCAATTATCTCGTTTCTCTTCTGGTGTTTGTGCATTGTTAGCAAAGCTTTGTATTCTGTTTATGCCATGTATTAGGGCTCCTAGTGTTGTCCCTATTTTTTTTTCCATAATCTTTATTGTTTTAGATTTTATATTTAGGTCTTTGATCCATTTTGAGTTAGTTTTTGTACATGGTGTGAGGTATGGGTCTTGATTCAGTTTTTTGCAGATGGACATCCAGTTACACCAGCACCATTTGTTAAAGAGATTGTCTTTTCCCCAATTTACGAACTTTGGGCCTTTGTCAAATATCAGCTGCTCATAGGTGGATGAATTTACATCTGGATTCTCAATTCTGTTCCATCAGTCTATGTATCTGTTGTTGTACCAGTACCAGGCTGTTTTGACTACCACGGCAGTATAACAGGTTCTAAAATCAGGCAGTGTGAGGCCTACCACTTTGTTCTTCTTCACTAATGCTTTACTTATCCGGGACCTCTTCCCTTTCCATATGATGTTGGTGACTTGCTTCTCTGTCTCATTAAAAAATGTCACTGGAATTTGGATCAGGATTGCACTGTATCTGTAGATTGCTTTGGGTAGAATTGACATTTGCATAATGTTGAGTCTTTTATCCATGAGCAGGGTATGTTTTTCCACTTATGCAGGTCTCTTTTGGTTTCTTGCAGTAGTGTCTTATAGTTTTCTTTGTATAGGTCTTTTACGTCTCTGGTTAGATTTATTTCTAAGTATTTTATCTTCTTGGGGCCTACTGTAAATGGTATTGATTTGGTGATTTCCTCTTTGAAGTTCTCTTTGTTGGTGTAGAGGAATCCAACTGATTTCTGTATGTTTGTCTTGTATCCTGATACTTTGCTGAAATCTTCTATTAGTTCCAGTAGTTTTCTTTGTGGATTCTTTGGGGTTTTCTGTGTATAAGACCATATCTTCTGCAAATAGGGATACTTGTACTTCTTACTTACCAATTTGGATGCCCTTTATTTCTTTTTCTAGCCTAACTGCTCTGGCTAGGACCTCCAGCACAATGCTGAATAAGAGCAGTGATGAAGGGCATCTTTGCCGGGTTCCTGTTCTCAAGGGGAATGCTTTCAGACTCTATTTAGGATGATATTGGTGGCGGCTTTGTATAAATGCCCTTTATTATGTTGAGGAATTTCCCTTCTATTCCTATTTTGCTGAGGGTTCTTCTCATGAATGGGTTTTGGACTTTGTCAAATGCCTTTTTTGCATCAATTAAGATCATGTGGTTCTTGTTTTTTGTTTTATTTATGTGACGGATTACACTGATAGTTTTTCTAATGTTGAACCATCCCTACGTGAATCCCACTTGGTCATGGTGAATTATTTTTTTTATATGTTGTTGAATTCTATTGTCTAGAATTTTGTTTAGGATTTTTGCGTCAATGTTCATGAGGGATATTGGTCTGTAATTTTCTTTTTTTGTGGTGTCTTTACCTGGTTTTGGTATCAGGGTTATGCTGGCTTCATGGAATGAGTTTGGGAGTATTCCATCCTTTTCTATGCTCCAAAATACCTTTAGCAGTAGTGGTGTTAACTCTTCTCTGAAAGTTTGGTAGACTCTTCCAGTGAAACTGCCCGGGCCAGGGCTTTTTTTTGTTGGGAGTTTTTTATTTACCTTTTCTATCTCTTCTTTTGTTACAGGTTTATTTAGTTGTTCTACCTTTGTTTGTGTTAGTTTAGGTAGGTAGTGAGTTTCTAGAAATTTGTCCATTTCCTCTAGGTTTTCAAATTTGTTGGCGTACAATGTTTCATAGTATTCTGTTACGACTCTTTTAATTTCAGTTGAGTCTGTTGTGATATCGCCCACCTCATTTCTTATTCGAGTTATTTGCTTCTTCTTGTGTTTTTCTTTTGTCAGTTTGACCAGTGGTTTATGGATTTTGTTGATCTTTTCAAAAAACAAGCTTTTGGTCTTGTTAACTCTTTCAATTGTTTTTCTATTCTCTATTTCATTTAATTCTGCTCTAACTCTTATTATTTCCTTTCTTCTGGTGCTTGAGGTCTTCTTTTGTTGCTCTCTTTCTATTTGTTCAAGTTGTAGGGTTAATGTTTTGATTCTGGCCATTTCCTCTTTTTGGATGTGTGCATTCATTGCTATAAATTCACTTTTGAGCACTGCTTTTGCTGTGTCACAAAGGTTCTGGTAGGATGTGTTTTCATTCTTATTTGATTCTGTGAATTTATTTATTCCGTCCTTAATTTCTTCTATAACCCAGTAGTTTTTGAGCAAGGTATTGTTCAGTTTCCATGTATTTGCTTTCTTTTCCTTGCTTTTTTCTGTTATTGATTTCTACTTTTATGGCTTTATGATTAGAAAAGATGCTTTGTAATATTTTTATGCTTTGGATTCTGTCAAAAACATTTTCTTAGTAAGACATTATATTCACGAGAATTTAATGCTTAAATAATAGGACTGCTTAACGAATTACCTTGGGTACCAACAATCTCCATGTGAAGATGCGCAAGCCCACTTGCTGTGGACAGAGCGAGTTTTATCATTCCTTCCACAGAAACTGTGTATCTATTCAAGTAATCAAAAAGAGATCCATGCTCATGATAATCTGATACCAACCAGAGCTGAGTCCATGTACCATTGTCTGCAAAACAGAGTAAGAATGTTTCAGTTGGATTACAGAACATTTACGATTAATTTATTTAAAGGTTATCACTTTTTACTATCAATCCTGAATCACATCACCGCAATACGCTGGCACCTTATATTTGTATGTATTTCCTTCATATTTTCTTATATTTTCAGTTGGTCTTAAAATACTTTTCAAAATACTTTTGCATACATATCCTTTAAATCCTCACAATAAGCCTCCTATTCTTGAGACAGGTCATGCATGATTAACCCCACTCTAGAGGTAAGAAACTGTAGTTCAGAGATGGCTTATTTCTTGAGCTTATACAGTAGCAGAGCTGGGACTCTTTAGTGCCTAGAAAAATGCCTGGCTTAGGGTTGGTGCTCAAGGGTTGTTTTTGGAAGGAGAGACGAAGGAAAGAAGAGAGGAAGAGTGGGAAATGGAACTTATCTAAAGCCTAGTGTGGTCGTGTGGGAATGGAGTATCATGGGACAAAATTGAAAGCATATTTAAATGAAGAAATGATGAGCTCTAGTGACAGACTATGTATACAGTTCACAAAGAAACCAGATAAGGTGACCATGATTCTAAAGTTCTAAATTTGAAAAACATCAAAAATTGCAGTACCACCGACACGTGGGGAGGCTGAGGCAGGAACTGAAATGTCAGAAAGGAGGAAAAGGAATGGAGATTGAACTAAATCTTAGATAAGGTGATTCTGAATGTAGATTCTGAAAGTTTACTTGTAAGCTGATACATGAATTTGACATGTATTTTCCCAGAGGAATAATGGTAAAGGTTCTGGCTAGGCTTCTAGGCTGGTCCACAAAAGTCTGTTTAATCTACAAGTTAAATATGGATAATATCTGGAAAATCATATATATAATAAAACAGTGAAGAAGAAAAGCATTACAACAATACGAGGAGGCAGCTGATTCAGTAAAAGATGCACACTTGGAGTCATTCCAACCTGGGTTGGACTCCAGAGCCTGGCTGTTACTATGTGTGACCTCAGACAAGTTTCTTAACCAATCAAAAGCCTGTTTCTTCTTTAATACAACAAGAATAATACCTTACTTTGCAAACTGTTAAGAGGATTTAAAAAATAGGATAGTAGATTTTTAAAGCAATTTAGTACAGTGTCTGGCACATAAAAACTTAACATGTGCTGTTTCCTTTCCAATCAATGGCAAAACAAACAAACAAAACCCCAAATTGATGTAAAATGACCCTTATATTTTGAAGGTGGTTACTTGAAGAAAAGCAATTCTGTTAGAAGAGATTAAGGAAGGAGATGGGAACTTTTCAGAAGATTTGAAGGGAGTATCTGGGCCCTTTCAAAAGGATTTAGATTCGTGATATGTTTTTTTATAAACTTGTTCTTCATAAAATGGAGAAACTGATTCTGTCCAAACTGGTACCTTTTCTTTTTTTTGATATAGGTGCATGAGCAGCCTTATTTGCATACTTACTAACCACGACTGTATTTTGAAAGGCTCACAAACATAAGAAATAAATAGGAACAGAGGCAGATGGAAGAAAAGAATATTTTCTTGAGGTAACTGACAAGATAGGCAGAAGGAAGAAGAACTTAAGAGGCTATGCACATATAAAGGACTGCCTGAGGTGAAATTAACTAAATCATGAGGAATAAAGATAAAGAAAAGGGAAATAGAGGAGAAGGACTGAGTTCTGAGCAAAGTTTTGTTAACCCCTGACAAAGAAGAAAAAAAGAGAAGCTGAGGAAAAGCCAGCAGGGTCAGCTAGTTCCCATGGTGATCATCAGATGACAGCACCAGCTAGATGGCTGCTTGAACAAATGGGAAGAGAAAACTCGGGTTACAGCAGCACCAGCTCTTTGTGCCAAAGGTGCATGTTTGCAACTTGGGACATGCCTATAAACGGACCTGGGTGAGGTTTAAGCCTCAAAATGCAGACTTGAAAGCTACCACCAGGATAGGTTACTTAAAGGAGTAATTACTATTTGCAGAATTAGAACTTTCATACAAATCAGTAAAAAGAGTAAGAGTTCAAGGAAACAAAGATAACTATTAAGAAATAAGAATAAACATGTCATCAGTGTCACTAAACTGTACATGTAGAAACTGGTGAGTTGGTGTATGTTTTGCTTTGTATATTCTCAACAACAACAACAAAAAAAGAAATAAGAATAAACCAAGGAAAGCCCAGGGTCACATTACTTAACAAAGAAACGTTGGGAAGAAGCTAAATCGTGTCAAATACAAAAGAAAATGAGAACTAAGGATTTGGTCAGACTATGATTGCTGCTTTTGTTTATTCTGTGTTTTAATTAACACTGAATTTTTTGTGGCCATTGATAATCATGGTCTACATCAGTCACATTCATCACTGCCCCTAACAGCACAAAAAAAGAGATAATCAAACATTTCATATGCCTCATGATGTGATGTACTAGAAAGCATACGATATACCTACTATGTATTTTGAGGAAAACAATAAAACCTGAATCAGATCCAACCTCTATATCTAACTACCAGTTTTCAGAAAATACAGAGGAGCAAGTTAAGAAATACTATGAAAATTCAATCAGCAAAATTCGGAACGTGGTAAGCTCTACAGGACAATCTAGTTTCTTCAACAAATAAACTGCAAGATGGAAAAAAAAATGAAAGGGGGAACCTAGAGATTTAAAAGACTCAAGAGAACTATTAACCAAATGCAATGTGTGGACTTTGGATCCTAATTTGAATAACCAATTGTTAAAAAAAAAAAAAAAGGCATTTAAAGAAATTTGAACCCAAATTAGGTATTTGATGACATCTAAAAAACTGGAAATGGTAGTGTGATTATGTTCCATAAAAAAGATTCTTCATCACTCAGAGATACAAATTAAAAATATTTATGAATGAAAAGATATGTTATCTGGAATTAGCTTCAAAATAATTCAGTTGGGGGCAAAAAATAGATGGGAAGTTAAAGATCAAATATGATCGACAGTGAGCTGATAATTATTAAAGCTGGGTGATGGAGCTCATTATACTACTCTCTACTTTTGTCTATATTTGAATTTTTTAATAAATAAAAGTTTAAAATTAAGTAACACATGCTTGCTGTAAATGAATTTGAAAATAACAGAGAAGCTTTAAAAAAAAAATCCACAAAAATCATCCATAATCGCCAACTAGAGATAAACATGGTTAAATATTTTGAAGAAATATTATTGAAGAAATGAATGGGAGGGGAGAAAGGGGAAAAGATGATGACTACAGTTCTAGACAAGTAAAAGATGACAGCACTTTTAAAGAAACAGGAAAGTTGGGAAATACAATTAATTCAGGTGGGAATGATGAGAGTTGAGTTCTGAACATATATTTGAAGTAATGTAACACAATATCCAACCGGAGATGTCTTGCGGGTCATTAGACATTTTGGACAGGGATGAAGGCTGCAGAGTAGGCACATGTCTGTGACTGACGCGGTAAAAGTAGGAGTTGTCGGCACAAAGGTATTAACTGAAGCCAAGAAAGTAGATGAAGTATAGTAAGTCGATGGAGTCTGAAGTCACCACTCACTCTGACTCTCCACTAACGTAGCTTCCTTGTTTTCTTCAGCATCTGATCTGACCCTGGGCCTCAGACACCTTTGCTACAGGCAAGAAGGTATCCACATAACACATCGTTACTAATGGTAAAGCTGTTTTGAATAAACCATTTTTCCTATTTAACTGAGTTTATGTAAAAGATTGATCCATTTACACCTGACAACTTAGAACACAGAGTACACTGAAAAGCCCTACTGGTCAGGAAGAGTTAAAAGAAAACAGACATTTCAGCCCTACGCTACCTCAAAATTTTAAGTAACTAGAGTTTATATATTTTTTCTGTATTATGACTATACTCAATAGCTGCCCTGAACTAAAATAACAAAGGCATGTTTTTTTTTTCAGTTCTTTACATTTTATAAAAAAATTTAGATTTAGGAACATATTGTCAAGAGTCAAGGATATCCTTAAGGAGTTCCTGTTTCTAAAGGTTTCTAATATATTCTGTTTGATTAATGAGCCTAATCTATAGGACAAACATCTATTTCTCACCAAAATTGATAATGTTTAGTAGCCATATCCATAAATAGGCTTAAGTAGACTTTGTTATACTCAATATAAGGGAAAAGCAAAGGTTACCAACTGTCTTAGTCATTTAGTGCTGCTATAACAGAAACACCACAAGTGGATGGCTTTAACAAAGAGAAAATATATTCTCTCACAGTTCAGGAGACCAGAAGTCCAAATTCAGGGTGCCAGCTCCAGAGGACAGCTTTCTCCCTCTGTCGACTCTGGGGAAAGGTGTTTGTCATCAATCTTCCCCTGGTCTAGGAGCTTCTCAGCGCAGGAACCTCAGGTCCAAAGGACGCGCTCTGCTCTTGGCACTAATTTCTTGGTGATATGAGGTCCCCCTGCCTCTCTGCTAGCTTCTCTCTTTTAAATCTCAAGAGATTGACTCAAGATACAACCTAATCTTGTAGACTGAGTCCTGCCTCATTAACATCATAGAGATAGGATTTACAACAAATAGGAAAATCACATCAGATGACAAAATGTTGGGCAATCACACAACACTAGGAAACAGCCTAGCCAAACTGAAATACATTTTTTGGGGACACAATTCAATCTATAACACCAACCTTTATTGTCTGCTGCTATAAATCCCAAGATGTTTTCATGACGTAACATTACAGTTTGATAAATCTCTGCCTCACGAAACCATGAGCGTTCTTCTCTAGAGGAAAATATTTTAACAGCAACTTCTTCTCCCCGCCACTTTCCTCGCCAAACTTCTCCAAATCGACCTTTGCCAATGCTTTCTTGTAACACAATAGTTCTTGCGATTGTTCTCTGAACAAGCAATGGTAAACCTAAAGATAAAGAAAAATAGTATTCAATATAATCAACAACATTGTGCTTCTAACACAATGATAGGCACTAAAGAGTGATCCAGAAAGGTATAACTCCCTAAGCTCCACTTTTAAGGAATATGTCATCTAACTGTGGAGATATAAACTACATTTGCACCAAAATAATGATAAAATGAAAATAAGCTAATAAACACAATAAAAGAATAAAAAAGGCCTGCCTACAGGGTCCAAGTAGGCTTTATAAAGGCCTTATAAAGTAAGTAGAATGTAAGCTGTCCTTTACAGAAGGGATAGGACCAAAGGAGCAGAGAAGAAGGTAAAGTGTTTAGATAGGAGAAACTTGCAAGCAAAGGCAGAAGAAGGAAATTAATGACACATGTTCAGGGACCCAGCTTGGAAAAGCAAAGAGAATGTGTGCGGGAAAGCATATTCACCAGAACATGAAGACTCCAGAATGCTAAGTTCAAGATGGCCAATGAGAGCTATAGGTGAAAGAGGAACTATTAAAGCTTTCTGGAAAAGGGCTTTGAATGGGAGGAAAAAAAAAAAAAGAATCTTATTTTAGAAAGATGAATCTGGTAAGTTTTACTGATGGGAAGAGAAAAGTGTGTGAACATAAGAAACACAGAAGTAAATTCTGGTCTAACTTTTAATAAATCAGTAAAAAATACTACAGAAATGATTTCAAGGCAAGCAACTTACTTGTTAGGAACTGGCTACCTAAGTAACATCAGCATCTTAAGAACGATGTCAAATAACTTACCTTTGGTAATGGGGCATTTGCATTTTCTCATTAACTGAACTTGCCTTACTCTAAAATACATATTTTTAAATACTGCCACACTTATTTCATTTACAGAAAAGCATTTACTAACTACTTAGAATATTTAAGTGATGCTTTATTAGGAACTACTATAATTCACTTAAAATCATACGCCCCATCGCAGTGGTTAAAAGCTATAGCTGCTAACCAAAAGGTGGGCAGTTAGAATCCACGAGCTGCTCCATGGAAACCCTGTGAGGCAGTTCTACCCTGTTCCTATAGGGTCGCTATGAGTCGGAATCGACTTGATGGCAATGGGTTTCTATTCACTCGGGAACTGTCTTCTTAAATTATACTGACACTAACAAATAAAATAGCAATGCACATGACCCTCCCCACCTCCTGCAAACTAGTTAATAGTCTAATTACGAATAATTGTTTTTATAAGGGGACTCCTAGCTAAAATAGCTGTTTGAAATCCTCATTTAAATCACGGAACTCTTTTATACTATGAATAATCAATTCCTAATTATGTTGTTTACTGTAAATACTAATCTACTAAATTTTCTTAAAAGCCTTACACAGGGCCATGCCATGTATAAACTAAGTGTATTTAAGAGTTAATTTCAGGAGACTAAACTGTAAGTTACAAAGGCACATAATAAAGGAAAAAGGGGAATTGCAAATGGGAAGTCTGAAAATGCCTGACTCATTCAGGACTTGTGTAAATGGCATGGTCAAGAAAGTCTAACAGGACAAAGAAAGTTTTGTCTTCTCCAACACCACTGGATTGATTCTAGATGTAGAAAATTAAAAACAAAACTAGATTCATATTATCTGTATTTGGTTAACATAACCCACACAAATACCTGAGCATTTTAAAAAGTAGTAATTTTCTTCTAAAGACAAAAAACAAACAGCCCTCTATAATCTCTGCCTTTCTCTTCTGTACCTTTAGAACTGCTTGAGAAGAAACTTCAGTAGATGATCAGGGTCTGAGCAGCTTCATATGCAGTGAACAACAGAAATAATTCCTGAACGACATGCATATATTACAAGAGATCATAAACATGCACAAGACATAAACAATGGTCCAAGAGACTCTCTTTTAAAAACTGGCACACATGTGCCCACTCATAGACACACTTTTCAATCTAATTATAGCTGAAACATGGGCACATGCACAGCCTGTGATTCAAAGCAATGCATCAAGGATTAGGTTAGCTTCAAAGTTAGTGCTGCCAAAATCAGGCTCTCCGTTGTATTTCTTCCCTGCAGTTTCCAAGTTAAAAGTACAGGCTTTGAGAGACAGAAGTAGCTAGGGCGTTTCCTCAATTATAGCCATGGTGCACTGTAATAAATTTGTGAATTCCTAACACAAAATGTTTTGTTTTACCATTTCCTCAATGAATGAAAGAACTAAAAATGGTATTATGAATAGACGTTTTACTTATTCACGGGCACCAGTCCCATGCAAAGGTGGCATTAAGACTTTCTACTGACTAGAAGAGAAACAGATGGTATTTTTTGTTATCACTCAACAGACTTCTGTGTGGGTAAATTCGGAAGACATTTAGCACACAATGAACTCTGAGAGTTTAAAGGAGGCTTTTACACTAAGCTCTTTTGACTATGAAGCAAATTGATACTGTATGTCTCAGATTTTTCTTCCAAATAACTTTTCAATAAGAGTAACACCTGCCATTTGGACATAACTTTACCAAGTGCTTTCACACAAACATCTTTTCTCTCATTTGAACTTCACAAGAATTCAATGACATACACAGGGCAGAGTTCATCACTTTCATCTTAAAGATGAAGTAAGTCAGGCTTGAGACATCAGCTAACTGCCCAAAGCCACAAAGCTAGCAAACAGGGTAGAGGCTTTTGAGGGGTAATGCATAAAAGAAAGGAGAGAGGCTTTCAGACAATAGAAAGCTGTGGTCCCTGATGTATCTAGAAATACATATACAGTAGAAAAATAATTAATTCCACTTCTGTATTTCATGTTTACATCTTAAAAGGTAAACAACTGTATCCTTACTCAGAAATCAGCTGCCATTCACATAGTAGCTTCTTTAATCATTTAGGTGGATTTGTTCCCCTTGAGGCCTGATACATGCCACTGTGGTAAGCGGCATGAGCTGCTTTGACTTCCCTGGGTGTAAATTTGGCAACAAGAGGACTGTCCAAGGGATTAATTCCAATGATCTGCAGCCACCTTAATTCTGTAAGTTTGGTCCTTGGTTATCATAATTTCGGTCCAGAATAACTTCCAGAATAAGCCATATCCTTTAATGTTACCTGATTATAAAATTAGTGAAGTTTTCATTATATGTATTTTCAAATCTTCATTTTACCCATGCATTTAGCCTTTATTTGAAGCTGATTTATACTTTTCAAAGGATAGCATATATTATTTAAGAGTCAACAAACCTACGAGTGTTATTACCAACAATGTCTGTTCCATCTTACTGATGAAGAAACAAAAGCCCAAAGAGGAAACTTGGTTTAACCAAGGTCACAGAGCAAACCAATGACAAAGCTTGGTTTGGAATCTAGATCTCTTGACTCCCAGCCCAGTATCAAATTCCAATACTCTAGGGGATAGAATTCTTTTCTTATTATCTGTCCAAAATACATGCAAGAAAAAATAATTACCCTTTGGCTTAAACACAAAGCACTGCTATGCCAAAATTCGCTTGAGGGATGATTTTGGCATTTAGCCTATTTATGATTCCACATAAATCAACAAACACAACTGAGAAAAGAAAATATCAAAGGGGCTATGCGTCCACAAAGCTATTTTAAATAACAAGTTGGTTAGATTACTTTCTTAAAGTGAGAAAATGACTAAGAATTCATTAGTTTAAAAAAAAAAAAAAAGGCCTGAGCTGAAAACAGTAATTTTTGTACAATGTTAAAAAAGCAAATAACTTTGACAATTCCAAACATATTTTCTATCATGCCTGCTTTCAAATACAAAAATGCTGCTGCTAAACAATCCTGAACAGAATGGGTAGCTACATCTTAGACAGATCATTTAAAAGCTTTGAGCCTCAGCCTCACCTACATGAGAGTAATTGTCCTCATCTCTTCTATCTCACACTGTCCTGAGAGGCAAATGAGATTAAATGGGTGCTTTGAAATTTACACAAACACGAAGCTGACTTATTGATGTTTTATGTAGGTTCTAGTCTAGCTACACTAAACTAAGCCACAGTTAGATACAGACCAAGCTTAAAGACCTTTATTAGGCTTAAATCTGGAATACAGGTCATACTACTCCAAGTTGTAACAAACTAAACCAACTAATAAAAGAAATAAGCCCCACCACCCAAAAAAACCAAAACAGTTGCTGTCAAATCAATTCTGACTCATGGCAACCCCATGTGTTACAGAGTAGAACTGCATTCCATAGAGTTTTCGTGGCTATGTTCTTTTCCAAGCAAATCGCCAGGCCTCTCTTCTTTCTTCTGCATTCAAACAGCCAACCTTTCAGTTAACAGCCCAGCACTAATGTTTACACCACCTAGGGGCTCCAATAAGATAAATACCAGTTAATTTTTTTCTTAGAAAAAAGGAAAAACATTACATTACCTGATCCAGAACCCGATGTTGTCATATCATAAATTAAATCTTTCAGTGTAGTACCCTCTGAAATAAAAGGGCGATCTAACGAAGGATCCTCTTCGTTTGGCACTCGATGGTGAATGACAGTTCGGTTATGGCAGATATAGACCATCAACATGAGTGAGATGCAGACGAAGCACACTGGTCCAGCAATGACAGCTGCCAATTCAACTGGACCAAGGCCAGATGACGGCTTTACTGAAAACGGGCCAAAAGTGAAATAAACATCAACGATAACAGAAGCATCGCAGGTGGCATCCACATTTTCCTGATCCTCCACCTTTCCTGCAGTTTTGACTGCCACCACTCAGTCATACAGAAGCTCACAGAGCTCAAACCCAGACTCATCCAGTCTTCTCTCATTGGCCCTCCTTTTATGATCACCAGCTCTGACACATCCTATTTACTCTTCCTGTATTCGCCAGCCATCATCTAAATCCAGCCATTGCCATCATTCTAGGACCTCCCACTTATCACCCTCAGGTCACTAACAAAGGAACTATAGGAACTCCCAATAACACCCCTTAAAAGCCTTCTTTTTTAATAACAAACTTTTGGTTTGTCTTCTTATCCAAAGGCCAACACATGCTCCCAACAGGAAAAATATAAGTACAGGTGAGCAAAAGTAAAAATAAAAACTACCTGCAGCCTCACCACTCGAAAACAACTCACATTTTAGTATATATCTCTACCACTTGTTTTTTTAATTAGAGTTTGCATGTACATATTTTCTAGTCTATTTAACCACCTGGACTTTTACTTCTGGATTATTTTCTTATAATCTTTCTTTTTCTTTACAGTTGAATTTGGGGGGGCAATCTTCTGCCACCCTACTTTGTTGTCCATGTTTCTGCTCAAACTGTGCTTTACTCTTTTTTTGTGTGTGTGCTTTAGGTGAAAATTTACAGTTCAGGTTAATTTCTTACACAAAAATTTACACACATATTGTTACATGACACTGGTTGTAATCCCTAAAACATGACAGCACACTCCCCCCTTCCACCCCAGGTTTCCCATGTCCCTCCAACCAGCTCCTGTCCCTTTCTGCCTTCTCATCCTGCCTCCAGACAGGAGCTGCCCATTTGGTCTCATGTATCTGCTTGAACTAAGAAGCACACTCTTCACAAGTATTATTTTATGTTTTATAGTCCAGTCTAATCTTTGAACAGTGGGCTTCAGGAATGATTTTAGTTCTGAGTTAAAAGAGCGTCCAGGGGCCATGGCTTTGGGGGTTCCTCCAGTCTCAGTCAGACCATTAAGTCTGGTCTTTTTACGTGAATTTGAGTTTTGCTCTGCCAGGGACTCTGTTGTTTCGCCTGTCAGGGTGGTCATTGGTGGTAGCCGGGCACCATCTAGTTGTTCTGGTCTCAGGCTGATGGAGTCTCTAGTTTATGTGGCCCTTTCTGTCTCTTGAGCTAATATTTTCCTTGTGTCCTTGGTGTTCTTCATTCACCTTTGCTCCAGGTGGGTTAGGGTCAATTGATACATCTTAGATGGCCGCTCGCTAGCTTTTAATACCCCAGATGTCATTCACCAAAGTGGGATGCAGAACATTTTCTTAATAAACTTTGCTATGCCAATTGACCTAGACTGTCCCCTAAAACCATGGTCCCCAGACCCCTGCCCCTGCTACTCTGTCCCTCGAAGTGCTTGGTTGTATTCAGGAAATTCTTAGCTTTTGGTTTAGTCCAGTTGTGCTGACTTCCTTGAACTGTGTGTTCTCCTTCCTTTCACCTAAGAAGATTCTTGTCTACTATCTAATTAGTGAATTCCTCTCTCCCTCCCTCCCCACCCTTATAACCATCAAGGAATGTTTTCTTCTGTGTTTAAACCTTTTCTTGAGTTCTTAGAATAGTGGTCTCATAATATTTGTCCTTTTGTGACTGGCTAATTTCACTCAGCATAATGCCTTCCAGACTCATCCATGATTCATCATTGTTCTTTATCATTGCATAGTATTCCATTGTGTGTATGTACCATAATTTGTTTATCCATTCATCTGTTGATGGACACCTAGGTTGTTTCCATTTTTTTGCTATTGTGAACAGTGCTGTAATGAACACAGGTGTACATATATCTATTCGTGTGATGGCTTTTATTTCTCTAGGATATATTCCAAGGAATGGGATTGCTGCATCATATGGTAGTTCTAATTCTAGCTTTTTAAGAAGCGTCAAATCAATTTCCAAAGTGACTGTACCATTTTACTTTCCTACCAGCAGTGCATAAGTGTTCTAGTCTCTCCACAACCTCTCCAACATTTATTATTTTGTGTTTTTTGGATTAGTGCTAGCCTTGATGGGGTGAGATGGTATCTCATTGTAGTTTTGATTTGCATTTCTCTAATGGCTAATGACCGTATTTCCTCATGTATCTGTTAGCTGCCTGTATGTCTTCTTTGATGAAGTGTCTGTTCATATTCTTTGCCCATTTTTTAATTGGGTTATTGGTCTTTTTGCTGTTGAGGTGTTGCACCATCTTTTAGATTTTAGAGATCAGACACTGATCGGATATGTTGTAGCCAAAAATTTTTTTCCCAGTCTATACATTGTCTTTTCACTCTTTTGGTGAAGTCTTTTCATGAGCATAAGTGTTTGATTTTTAGGACCTCCCAGTTAACTAGTCTCTCTTCTGGTGCTTGTGCATTGTTACTTATGGTTCGTATTGTGTTTATGCCATGTGTTAGGGCTCCGAGCATTGTCCCTATTTTTTCTTCCATGATCTTTATCGTTTTCGATTTTATATTTAAGTCTTTGATCCATTTTGAGTTAGTTTTTGTGCATGGTGTGGGGTATAGGTCTTGTTTCAGTTTTTTGCAGATGGATATCCAAACATGCCAGCACCATTTGTTAAAGAGACTGTCTTTTTCCCAATTAATGGACTTTGAGCCTTTGTCAAATACCAGCTGCTCACAGGTGGATGAATTTACATCTGGATTCTCAATTCTGTTCCATCGGTCTATGTATCTGTTGTTCTACCAGTACCAGGCTGTTTTGACTACTGTGGTAGTATAATAGGTTCTAAAATCAGGTAATGTGAGGCCTCCCACTTTGTTCTTCTTCTTCAGTAATGCTTTACTTATCCGAGGCCTCTTCCTTTTCCATATGAAGTTGGTGATTTGTTTCTCTATCTCATTAAAAAATGTCACTGGAATTTGGATCGGGATTGCACTGTATCTGCAGATCACTTTGGGTAGAAATGACATTTTCACAATGTTGAGTCTTCCTATCCATGAGCATGGTATGTTTTTCCACTTATGTAGGTCTCTTATTTAACCAAGAGACCTAAATAATCTTTTAATAATTAATATTTTGCATTGTTTCAGAAACACATTAATTGTAATTATTTTGGCATTCATCCTAAGCCTTGCTAGTTCACTGCTCATGACCATTTCTTTCCTGTCACATCTTTCCCACTCTTAAGCTTTTTATCTGGATTGATTTATTATTATATAAAATCCTATTTCTAGTACTTCCTTTCAGAAAGAGTACATAGGTCCTTGTATACTGAATAATTAATGTCTAAAAATATGTCCACTGCCTTTATATATGGAAAATAGCTTGGCTTACTCAAAAAATTTTGGGGGACAATCAATATATGATGTTCTATGTCTTCTGGCAATCAACAAGTCAGAAAATATGAACTTTTTTTTTACCTTCTATAGGTAACTACTATTTTATTGGGCTTAAATATGTAAAATACTTTTTTCTTTATTCTTGAAATGGATACATTTCTTCAGCATATATATTAGGGTAGGTCTTTTTTGTTAATTTTGCCTGACATTCTTCTTTTTCTGTCAGCTCTTACGATTTTTTCTGGAATTCTTGTAATGAACATATTGAATCACCTTGCTCTGTTCTTTATTTCTCTCAATTTGCTCACTGACTTTTTCTCTGAATTGCCAATTAATTCCTCAAGCTTGTCTCAAGTCTGACTGTAAAATTAGTATCTACTCTGCTGTTCACTACCAATATTGCATTTTTTAAAATATTCATCAGTTGGACTTTTCACCCGAAAGCCATCTTTAACAACTGTGGAATGTTCTCATTTCAGAGTAAACTACTGAAAACAGGCCTTGGACTGTCTGAAAGCTTTTCCCTATCATAAGGTAAAAGTCTATCTCATGAGGTGGCATCTACTCAGATTTATCCAGTTCACCCACTTCTTTTGAACCACTGAATCTTTTCATTTGGTCATTTTTTGCTGTTTGCTTATCTTGGAGTCGAGAATGAGGTGTTTACATTCGTTTAGCATTAGAAATGAGGTGAGTTCTTCACAGGGCTTTGTGAACTTCCATTCAGATCTTTCAAACTCCAAAGATGAAATGAGAAATTCTGGAATTATCATTTTCTTTGCCATGTTAGAACTGCAGATGCCTACATAAAAGTTGGGTAGAAATTACAGTCTGAGAGAGCCTGGCCATGAAGAGCTTCCTTATCATGCTGAAGATTTAGTTTTACTATACTGTTATCACTTGAATTGGGTAAAGGACTGCCTCCCTTATGTAATTGTCAAGACTGGCCATCTTCCTCTGAGCTACAACAGTGTTTCCTCCTTTAATTAGCATGATGCCTGGCCCAACTCTGAGTGGAAGGTAAACACTGTGATCTGCCTCTCTGAGAAGTGAAACCAGGTGTTTTCTAAAGGAGAATCAAGAGTTCATAGCTATGGCCTAACTTCTCCCTGAGCCCCTCAGCTTAAGTTATTGGGATTTTTCAAGAGGTCTTTTCACTTCTCCTCCCATTGTGTCATCTGGACTACAAACTACAGAAGCTCCTCAAAAGTATTGGCATGTGGGTAGCATTCTTCCATTTATTCTCCTAACATTAATATAAGAATTCCCCATCTTTATATTCCTTTGATTATTACAGTAAGAATTGAGGGGCTTATGGGAAATGGTAGAAGAGTTCAACACATAGGCTCAGAATGACATCTTAAATCAGTACGTTAAAATTAACCTAATCCTGAGTTTCTGAAGCCTTCAAATTCCTGGCTCTGCCGGGACATTGTAAAGTAAACTATGTGCACCTGTTAAAACCCATGGCTATAGAGTCAATCCTGACTCACAGAGACCCTACAGGGCAGGGTAGAACTGCCCCATGGGGTTTCGAAGGCTTCAATCTTTATGGAAGCAGATTATCACATCTTTCTCCAGCAAAGCGGCTGGTAAGTTCAAACTGTCAACCTTTCAGTTAGCAACCAAGCTCTTAACTGCGCCACCAGGGCTCCTAAACTATGGGTAAAGGACCAAAACATCTAAAAATCATGTATAATAATTTACACATATAGGTCATAAAACACGGTGAATTTACAAAATGAAGTCATTTGAACTATTTATATTTAGTGCTGTTCTTAATCTCCACCCATTAAAAACTGTTGATTGCTTCAAAAGGTACAAGGAAGAAAATTTACTTTCAGGACACAGTGAGGATACTCTGAGGACGTACTGCTGCTACGCACTTTGTCATAATTCTCCTTTAAGAGACTGATTTTTTAGGTATAGCAGGCCTCAGAGAAAGTCTATCCTGGAACCACCCTCTCGAACAATATATGCCTAGGAGTCAGCATCTTGGCCACTCTCATAACTCTATAACTATGGACAAGCCACTTCTTGCCTCTAAACTGAACAGATTGGGCTAGATGATGTCTAAGATCCCTTCTAGTCCTAAAATTATAGTCATAGTCTCAGCACTTTTCTGTGTCAAGAAAAAAGTCTTATACAACAACTTACCAGCAGTTGGGAGTTCTATTTTATTGCAATGGTCCTGCTTGCAGCAATATGTTGTAGTAGCAGACCCAGTTTTTGAAGAAGGTGCACATACAAATGGCCTGTCTCGAGGAATTAGGTCGTTTTCTGCTATACACATGCTATTGTGTATAACTTTGTCTGTGGTCTCTGTGACAGAGACAAAGCAGAGCCCATCTGTCACACACGTAAAATTGTCTTTCGTACAGAGGTGGCAGAAACACTGTAATGCTAGAAGATGAGAATGAGATTCTGTTAGAAAAAGATTTCAAGGTTTTATCCAATATTCACTACAATAATACATTCCTAACCCTACTATAATCACAATTTCTGTGCATTGCTCAAAACACAAAACTCTTTGTTACTCTTAGAAATTCTGAATTCTGCTGAAAACTGCAAGGAGGAGCCCAAAGAAATATGACAAAATTTGGACCCAGGTTTTTTTTCTAAAAATTTTTTGCTTCCAAGTATAAAAAATTTTGTGTCTGTTACATGCGTATTCACCAAGGTAAGGCAAGCATTTGCCCTCCCATTTTAAACAAAGTGCATCTAAATTTTTAATGGTTATACATACTTGTTCTTATCAGCCTAAAACTATGCACTCACATACTCCCTTCTCACTGAAGAACAACAGTATGAAAACACTACTGCAAACTCACTGTACTTAGGAAATGTCATTTAGATGGATTTATAGTAATGGAGTAATGGAAATATATTTATATTGAACCAATCTCTTCTCCCCTTATGGACACCATGAGAAAGACACGTATACTCTTCTAGCTAGGATCAGGGTCCTCTCTTGGTGAAGCCAAGCAGATAGTACCAATGACAATACATATATGTTCCAACCACATAAGCAACCAGGCTCCAGAAATGACTGGAGAAACACTAGCTCCTATGTCCACTTGTATCTACTCAATCTTTATGGCTCAACTCCAAGAGTGACCTCTTTAGGTAAGTCTTGCCCTAATTATCACCAATACCTTCCCATACACACAGACACACACACCTTCAACCATGTGCTCCAATGACATTAAGTGCTGATAAGGTCAGGTGTTGACGTTATAGTTAAGCACAGGCACTTGCAGCCTTTAGTATCACTGAAGTTAAAATACAGAAACAGATTTAACATGGAATCAGATCTAAGGTTATTTTTTTCCTGCTGTGAAACTAAACCTCCAATCTTTCAGTTAGCAGCCAAGCACGTTAACCATCTGCAAAGCACACACTGTTTACCAGTATCACAAGCAGTGTGGTTTTTGTTTTTCTCTCCCTATGATACTATAAACTCCTTGAAGCAGGAGATCCGTACTAATCATCCATGTAAACCCACCTAGCACTATGTCTGGTACATAACAGCATTCAAAAACTTCTATGATGAGACCAGGAAGGGCCACTGTATCTAGAAAAGGAGCGCTAGGCAGACAGGCCAGAAGAAAGCTAAATCCCTGAACAGTTACTTGTTGTGCAGCACAGGGTTAACTCAGCAGGTCTGGGTTGCTTAAACCCTGCACGTTCCCAAGAAAGGCCTGTCTTCACCCTTGGTGAGCTCTGAGCCCTTGAAATATTCTGCCAGATAAGAGTGTTTGGTATGCCTGAAACCTTGGGTCACCTGATACCAGTTTGTTCAGACACCTTATGCTTACAATGTGATGGTGATCGCCTGTTTTTGCTCTTGGGGGGACTGAAGTCTAAGCAGCTGAGGTCAGTTATACAGGCACTACATGCCTATGTGACTGACCCCCGATAAAAACCCTGGACACCAAGGTTCGGAAGGGCTTCCCTGGTTGGCAACACTATGCATATGTTGTCACACATTGTTGCTGAGAGAATTACTAAGCATGCCCATGTAACTCCACTGGCAGGGGATACCTGGAAGCTTGCATCTGGTTTCTCCTGGAGCTCACCTTATGCATCTCTTCCCTTTGATTTTAAATCTGTATCCTTCACTGTATTTAACCATAAACCATGAGTATAACAGCTTTTCTGAGTCCTGTGAATCCTTCTAGCAAACCATCAAGCCCAAGGGTTGTCTCAGACTCACTTGCTAAATTCAAACTCAGAAGTGCCAAATTCTCCTTGAATACAGTTGGCCCTCTGTATCCCGGGTTCCGCATTCCACGGATTCAATCAACTGCAGATTGAAAATATTTGGGAAAAAAAAGTTCCAAAAAGCAAAACTTGAATTTGCCATGCCCCGAACATGCAAATGAAATGATGTGTAGGCATACCCTGCTGTAGCCTCCCACCATTTCACAGATCCTCAGTCTCTCTTCAGCAATTGCTGTCTGAGCATTGTTTGCCTCGCTCATTCGCTACTTGTGTTGTGTGCACCCTTTGTTTCTGTGAAAAAATGGTTCCTAAAAAGCAATTAAGTGGTCAAAGCAATCTCTCAAAGGCTAAGAGGGAGTGTAAAGTGCTATCTCTCAAGGAGAAAATAAAAATCTTAAATCTTTTGAAAAGTGGCATGTCGCCTGCCAAAGTGGGTCATTAGGTCGGTAAGAAGGAATCCAGCATTCACACAATAAAGCAAAAAGAAGCTGAAATTCGTATAGGTGTTAGTGCTGCCCCTACAATGGCAAAATGGTCTCTCTGGTTCGTGATACAGTGCTTGCAAAGATTGACAGAGCATTAACTGTTAAGTGTAAGCATTAACAACTACTTATATTACATTACATTAACATTGTATTATGTATTATACGTAATCTAGAGATGATTTAAAGTATACAGCATAGGTTATATGCAAATACTATGCCATTTTATATTAGAGACTTGAGCATCCGCCAATTTTGGTATCCATGGGGTATCCTGGAACCAATCCCCTGTATATACCAAGGGCCAACTATAGTTGCTTCTTGGTTGCTAGTTTAATCAGCAGACTTGTCTATTATCTTTACAGACCAGCAAGGTTTCACCTGAACCATTATAAAAAATTTTTTCTCTTCATAGATAGCTCAACTATTTGACTTGACCCTGCCCAAGCATGAAGAAAACTCAAGAAAAGTAAAGAGACCCGATCATGATCTAACATTTAACAACTGAATAAAAGAGACAGCTGTTGTTCAAAGGGAGGTCTGGTGGTGATTACGCATTTCCTGGGTAGAATTTCCTAAGGAGGGATTCCACAGAAGTGGCTTCAGGAGTACTTGAATCCCAGGAAACTGTAGGCCAAATGTTCTACATATATGCACATTCAGAGAGAAGGTCTGTAGCTTTCCACAGAACTACAATGGGGTCTGTGACCACATAAGAGTAAAACCACCACCACAGGAGGCTGTCATCATTCTCTCCTGATTCCTCTTTACTCGTGATTATTCAGTCATTCAACCAATGTTTTCTAAGCCTTTAACTCTTATCAGTTACTCTACCCAAAGCTGAGGAATCAAAGATTAATAACACACGGTCATGGCTCTTTAAGAACTCTAATGACTAGTGAAGGAGAGTATTACAATACTATGTGGTAACTGTTACATATAAAAAATACTGTCATGAATATACTCTCCCAATTCTAAGGCCTTCACAGCTTCCCTGGAGTATATGAGATAAAGGCTAAACACTGGGCCTAGTAATCAGGACTTTTACTACTGGGTTCCAATTTACTTCTTACATTATAAATGCTATAGGGCTACATGCTTCTCATCATTCTCACAATCATATCTTTCATACTATCTCTCTGCTTGGTCTGCCTTCATTTAAACCCACCCTCTGTTGTCTATCTCACATCCTTTAAGAAGACCTAATTCAAACAAGATCCTTTCCAAACCTTTCCTCTACCCTAACACAACTGGTAGCACCTTTCGATATGTTTGCAGGGCCCTCTGTTCATACCTTTAGTATAGCACAAATCAATCTATTTATAGTTTACTGTTAAAGTGTCTCTCAGATGATGAAGGGCCAAGTTTTTTTGTTTTGTGTTGTTCTTCCCATTTTTGAATCCTGGACCTCTAGATAGTGATGAGAAAAATATTTGCTAAAGCAATGTTTCCCAAACAGGAGGTCATAAATATAAAGGGAGAAGAAGGGGATTCTAAGAGTTGTCTACAAGAATTTAAAAGATACTTTCATTTAAAAAATAATCTACAGACTATGATAAACATTCTGGATCATAAGGAACCACCATCTATGTAAGTACTGTCACCTGGCTTTAACTGATGCTCCTTCAGTTGTATTATGATCTCCTCTAAGCCAAATGTACAGGCAAAGGTTTCATAGTAAGTAAATGAAAGAGTGTAAAAAATACAGGGAAGTTGAATCATCAGAGCATATAGCAATGTAAACCAGTTGCTGTCAGGTCAGTTCTGACTCATGGAATCATGACTGTCAGAGTAGAACTGTGCCTCTTAAGATTTTCAGTGGCTGATTTTTTAGAAGTAGATTGCCAGGTCTTTCTTCTGAGGCACCTCTAGGTGGATTCAAATCTCCAACCTTTCAGTTAGCAGCCAAGTAGGTTAGCCATTTGCACCACCCAGGGACTCCTATGGCAATACAGGCATAGCATATTCTAAAACCAGTAGCCTAATAGCCAAAACCATACAGGCACAACAAGCACTGCATGGATCCTATCTTTGTTGTGGAGCCCTGGAGGCACAGTGGTGAAGTCTTCAGCTGCTAGCCAAAAGGTCAGCAGTTCAAATCTGCTAGCCTCTCCTTGGAAACTCTATGGGGCAATTCCACTCTGTCCTATATGGTTTCTACGAGTTGAAGTCGACTGGACGGCAACGGGAGATCTTTGTTCAATAATTTGTGAAAGTTCAGTAGCAGTAAATGTGGTTGTTAATATGCAATGACTTTTTCCATTCTCACTTCCAGCAATAATTGGTTTAGGGAACCATTTAATGAAGATTTCGATAATGTCATTATGTTAACCTTATCTTGGAGTGAACAAGACAGCTGACATCTCATTAAAATTGATATGTGAGGAATGCTTGCTGGCCAAGAGTTTAGTTAGGTGTGAGGTCTGATTATTCTCAACTTAAAAACAAGGCCTTTGTCTTAGGCTGGGTTCTCTAGAGAAGCAAAACCAGTAAAGTGTATAAATATATATAGAGAGAGAAATTACATCAAGGAAACAGCTCACGCGACTGCAGAGGCTAGAACGTCCCAAGTCCGTAGATCGGGGTAGAGGGCTCTCCCAAGTCACACAGCTGCAGAAGCTGGCAAGCCCAAGATCGGAAGGTCGGAGAGCAGGGCTCCCACTCACAGGCTGTGCAG